GCGTCGCAGAGCTCACCAAATGGCGGGTCCTATAGCAAGATCCTTTTGTCGATTTTCTGCTGCATGCCACACGGGACGTCCCCAACGATAGTAATTCATCTTCTGTTAGGGGATGCTGCTCAGGGTTTTTGACTTCACCCTGTGAAATAAACGGGTTGAACTCGAGCTGCTACATTCTAATTGAACTGACACCGGACTGCCACAGTAGACACTACAACTCGGCCATTCCCCCCCCTAATCCTTGCATTTGGCCGGGCGACGGACCCTTGATTAAATATGAATGTCGCTTTAACCTTGGTTTTTGGGCCATATAAATTGTTTAGGCTGTCGAAGAATAGGATTATAGGATTTTAGCACAAACAAGCGAGAGTCGGCAATATTTTATTTCGCTAGGTTTTCTTTACTATCAACCTCTACGGTAATTTATACAATTATATAAATCTATACATATGAATTAATCTAAAAAATAAATTACTATGACAAAAAAGCAAGTGTGAACTAGAGGTTTCCCCAGGAGATTGTTCAATTTACGAGAAGGCTTCTCATGTCATACAAAGAGGATCGGATCGAATCTTTGAAAGCGGCCAAATTAGTTCGCGGATTCGATTTGAACGCAGACGGTGCGAAGATGATGGTGTCATTCTGGAGGTTATAGGAGCAACCGTATCCGTCACGAACTACAGCACCATAGCACAAATAACAATTGGGAATATCGGGAGACGTGGTGACCTGAAATTGGAGAATGTCTGATTGCAAGGTGTTTGCCTGAGGTGTCACTTGCTGGGAAGAATGAGCTACTTGGAGTGGAAAAGAAAAGGACGAGATCTCCCCGTGAAAAACAACTTATGTGGGTGGATGTCGATTCCAAGTCATTCCATAAACTCGTCCCACAGCTGCTATACACTTCTTCTACCGTCATTTTGGGGGTACCCGACAGGAGGTCCGTCGCGCGGCAAGAAGGCAGAGACGCAGACGGGTAGGCAGACGAGTCGCAGCGCGTCCTGTAGTGGTTTCGCGTCAAGTCACATGGAATGTACCATCTTTGCTTCTTTTGTTGGATGACTGCTATTTGATGTTACCATTTTGACTTGTTTTTTTGGATAACTGCTGTTTTACGCCGCAGTTCGCGTTGCGAAAGTTATCACAAGAATGCTGAGTTGTGGGCAAAACTTTCGCCCCAGCCGGGATTCGTACCCGGATCTCTTGCTTTCCGGGCAATTGTGCTACCAGTTACACAACTTTATTGATGGTCCTGTTTATACCAAGAGCGAATGCGGCGCAGCCAGGCTGGCGGGTGCTATATCAGCACTGAAGAAGATACCCAAAGAAACCGTAAAATGTGATGTGCTCCCTTCGATGATGCTATTAAAGGCAAGAAGAAATGCTGCTAGATATGGAATGCAGTGAAATGGAAATGTCGGCAGTCATAGTACCAATACCGTATCAAAAACGTTGTCTTTATTCCTAACAACACCTCTTGATGGGCTGTTTGCGAACATTGCTTTATTTGGGCCATACTTCAGCGCCATATCGCGCATTGGATAACGAACGTTTACGGCTTCATTCACCGTATCCATATGTAAGCACAACTCTCCTTGCTGTATATCTTGCCTCTACAAGAACAGCTAAAGATTGTGACTTTCAAAAGTACGTGATCTTTAGGGCATGGCGGAGAATCAGTGGCAGTCTGCAGCGCTTTCCCGCTGAAGGAAATGGTCCCTAGTCTCATGGTCAGAATAGTCAAAAGATTCAACCGGTAAGACCTTCAGGAATATCATAAAGGAAGGAAAAGCTGTACCCTGGAGAAATGGGTGTCCCCCCCCCCCAAGAGGCCCGTCGCGCGGCGAAGGAAGAGACGCAGACGCGGCAAAGGACGAGTCGCAGCGCATACTGTAGCGGTTAGGCGTCAGGTTAAATAGAGTGTACCATACTACGTCTCATATCGCACAGCACGCGCTGCGACTCGTCCTTTGCCGCATCTGCGTCTCTTCCTTCGCCGCGCGAAGGCCTCTTGGGGGACACCCTGGAGAAATTCCTGCTTTGCGGCCTGATGTGTCCCTCAACAAGAATATAATTTAAGGAAAATCTGAAAATGCAAAGTACAGGTTCATGCAGAAGAAAAGAAGGAGTGATCTTATTCTTAGGTTCGGGATTCGATCGAACACTTGACAACTTGGAGAGATGGCGTTTCAAGATGAAAATAGGAAGATAGTCTAACAAGAAGAAGAAATGGAGGTGTGAACATGTTGCATACGCTACACAGAAGATCATCAATTTATGCCGACTCATTGTGGGGCATTTAGCAAAAATCATCATGTAAAGATTTTCGTGGGATCTGTGGATCCCTGCCCTTCATTTCACTGAGTATGAATGGAAATGCATGCCGCTTGTTTGCAACTTAGGTAACATTTAATCAAAAAGTCGTAATGAACTGGCCACATGAGAAGGATGTGATGCGCAAAAATTATTGATGAGAACGAAAAGAACAAAAAATTGCATTTGTTTTGGTAAAAATTCGAAAAATCGAAAGGGCTGCTACGCGTTCAAAGTACCGCCGGACATCTGTCACAAATGCTGGCGACGGGAATGCTTCCACTTGGTTCTTGGAGTGCCTCACTAGAAACTCTTTCTGGCCTTTTGACTTATTGCATTCACATCTCACTTCTACTGCATCCTATTCTATCGATCGATTTGTCTCTACTCTCCAAAATCGCACGCTTTAACCCGATTCTTTCATTGCGTCGCCTGATACGTAGCCGCCCCAAGGCGGACTTCTTTCCATGCCCCGCCTTTGGCTCCGCGCGACTTACCTTCGACTGTCCATAGAGTGTGGTTTTCGTGAGTTTGTTTCTCTTCGGAAACTGAATCTTTGTGCGTGAAACTTTGTATTTGTTTCTAGTGATCACAGCTGACATATGCGTGTTGGGAAAGAATGCGAGATTTTTCCGGGAAAGATTCCTTCAATTATATGGGGCATCATAGGCGGTGTCAGCGCTAAAAACACATGCAATATCGGAATTCTCAAGGATAACTTTCGTGAACTACTAAGCTTGAAAGCCTGGAAAATGTTCTATAGCAGGAAGCGAAGTGAACTATATATTTACTTACAAGGAGCATTGCTGTGCCAAAGAATTCGGTGAGCAAATTCCGAGCAAAGGGCGAACGAATACGGATGTACTCCCGTAGAACTTCAGGAGTGAAGATTTCCTCTTTATCATTCTCAGATGTCGACATCTGAAAATGTGAATCGTCTTGCACTGTTTGAAAGTGAAAGTCGAAAGCCGTAATCACTTTAATACTCCTTTAGACAAGACCTGTCTGTGTTTGACGATTGGTGAGCATTCTGAGTACAGAGCGTCTCAGAATTCTGAACACCGAAAATCGAAAGCTTATTAGGCAGGATCCATCAACCACTCCCTTTTCTTTAATTAGTTGATTTGGAAACCGCATCGGGTCTGTGAACTCCTCTACCCTTGAAAACAATAGCTCACCAGTGACCTGTGACTATTCGCATGAACAAGTCAAGGGCTGCAACGAAGGACGTATGTAGTCAGATCAGTATTTCCTATGAGATTTGCGCCAAGGATCACTAAACGATCAAAAGAACAGGACCATTCATAGGCAAGCCCCACGTAGCAAAAAGGCGCGTCTACGGGTACAATGACTGAGATGTTTCCCTTTCGGGGTTGATGGCAATCCATAGCTCTCCTTGGAAAAGTGGCGAGGGAGCGGACGCATGGAAGTCATCCAGGGGCGGATTGTCAAGTCAAGCTACATTGCCGTACCATCATATGGAGGTTTTCCACCTCATCTCCCATACCAACAGGTAGAAGAGGGACCGAAAAATGCGGCATGGTGCTAACGAGCGATGCCACTGGCGGATACTAGTAGGCAGAGCACCGGCAGAGGTGGAGCACCGGAAGGTTTGGAGCGCAAGTGCGTTACAACTGGCGCACATTTGGCCACAAAAAGGTCCATCTCGCTTTCTTTGCTTTGTGGCTACTATCCTTCACTGATACATTTATTTCCATG